TTGAAAGTCATCGTTTGCTGGTAGAAACATATGGTGAACACGCTCCATCGATTAGAACATGTGAGACATGGTTTCGACAATTTAAAAATGGTGATTTCAATGTGAAAAACAGTGAGCGCTCTGGTAGACCACAAAAATGCGAAGACGAGCAATTGCAGGAGTTATTGGATGAAGACCCAACTCAAACTCAACGGCAATTAGCAGAAGCATTACATGTATCACAAGAAACAATCAGCAGACGTTTACGAGCAATGGGAAAGATCAATAAACTCGGTAAATGGGTCCCACACAATTTGAATGAACGTCAAATGGAAAATCGCAAAGTCACTTGTGAAATGCTGCTTCAACGTTACGAAAGGAAATCATTTTTGCATCGAATTGTGACGAAAAATGGATTTATTTTGATAACCCGAAGCGGAAAAAATCGTGGCTTTCACCTGGCGAAGCCGGTCCATCAACACCAAGGCCAAATCGCTTCGGCAAGAAGACCATGCTCTGTGTCTGGTGGGACCAGAGCGGTATTGTGTATTATGAACTCTTGAAGCCCGGCGAAACCGTTAATACCCAACGATATCGCCAACAAATGATTAATTTAAACCACGCATTAATCGAAAGACGACCGGAATGGGCCAGAAGACATGGCAAAGTGATTTTGTTACACGACAATGCACCGTCTCACACAGCAAATCCAGTGAAAGACACCTTGAAATCGCTTGGATGGGACATCCTTCTACATCCGCCGTACTCCCCAGACCTGGCGCCATCTGACTATCACCTCTTCGCATCAATGGGGCACGCGCTCGCAGAGCCGCACTTCAGGAAGTTGGAAAATGACTCGACGAATGGTTTGCCGCAAAAGACAAGCAGGTTTTCTGGCATGGTATTCATAAATTACCTGAATGGGTGAAATGTGTAGAAGCCGATGGCCAATATTTTGAATAAAAAAAATTAATTTCCCTTGAAAATTACGTGTTTTTTTTTTTACCAAAAAACCGGAAAAAACTTATGCATACTCCTGGTATATATGTATACATACATATATATGTATGTACGTGTTACTGAACTGGTGTTCAAATAAAATATTTGTGTGAATATAAAGCTAAAATCTTATTCAAAATAAATATTCATTAACCTCCCCCTCCCTTCTTCCTTTCTTCCCTCCAGGGTCCGCCATAGTGAATATACACACACACGTGCGCGCGCATATACTATATAGTTCTAAATGTAGATCAGGGGAGCCACCCCCAATGATCTTGACCTTGACATATGTTGTTAAGGTCATGACCCCGAGTGCCCTTGAGGAAGTTTTAATTGTAGAACGTTACGAAGTTATAGATGTTAAGAAGTTATAAATGAAAGAAGTTTAAGAAATAACTTCTTCTTTTTACTATATGAATTTACTGCTTTAAAGTACATTCCCTCTTCTCCTGCTTCAAGGGCGCACGACTCTAACCTTCGACTCTCACCCTCCTCCTCCCCCTGCTTCAGGGGCGCCCGACTCTCACCTTCGCGTGAAAAGTCGTTGCTTTCCTAAGAGAAGGAGAGGAGGTAAATCTCGCTTTGCGAGATCAATACATTGATCTTGGATTACAATGTATTGATATATCTTTGTTTTGATTTCTTCAATAATTTTGAATAATATCGATCGGTTCAGTTAGTCTCAGTCAGTCAGATTATTTCGACACAAGTAAGACGCTTTACAAATGTTGAAAATGTATTTACATGAATTCATTAATATGACTTACAATTTCGATCGTTCGTGGAATTTTCTGTGTGATAAAGAAGTTGTATATAAAGAAATATTGTGTCCAAGATGTGGAAATGTATTGACATTAACAAATGTTAGGGAAAATCATATATTCCATTGCACAAAGTATTATTATAAAGTGAGTAAAACTCGAAAGCGACAAAGAGTAACGTGTAATTTTAAAATTAGTGCGTTCCATGGAACATGGTTTGAACGAGCGCGTTTAGAGCTTTCTACTATATGTCAATTTATTGCTTACTTTGTAAGGGTTGGGGGGGGGTGAGAGTCGAAGGTAAGATTCGAGCGGTGGGGGGGGGGGGGGGGGGTGAGAGTCGAAGGTGAGAGTCGGGCGCCCCTGAAGCAGAGGGAGCGGGGGAGGGATGAGAGTCAGGCACTCCTAAAGCAGAGGGAGCAGGGGGGGTGAGAGTCGAAGGTGAAAGTCGGGCACCTTTTTGCAGGAGAGGGAGGGAATGTACTTTAAAGCATATAGTAAAAAAAAGAATTATTTCTTAAACTTCTTTGGTTTATAACTTCTTAACGAGTAACGCCCTGCAATTAAAACTTCCTCTAGGTCACTCGAGGTCATGACCTTATGCTAATAACATATGTCAAAGTCAAGGTCATTGGAGGTGGCTCCCCTGATCTATAATACATTTTTACTATATATGGACGCTCAGTTGTTGTTTGACAGTCATTTATGCCAATCGGTGTCAGTGTTTTTATAAAAATGGAAAAAATCGAATATTGACGATCGCCATAACAAAAATATACGAATTGCAGTTCGAATTAATTTACTACCAGCTGTATTCACCAGATCTGATTCCCAATGATTCTTTCCTGTTTTTTTAGGCTTAAAATTAGGCTCGGAGAACACAGATTTTTATCAAATGAAAACACTGACATCGACTGGCACAAATGACTCTCAAACAACAACTTAGCGTTCAAAACAGCTATAATTTTTATAGTATTTTGCAAAAACATACGATTGTACCAGAATGTTATGGTAAATTTATTGCTTCCCCTTAGGGTTACAAACATAGATAATTATAGAAACACATAAGGCAATACACTATTATACAGTATTATACAATATGATATAATCATCCACGATCATATTTTATATTATCTCTACCTGTCTCTAACGCATGCCGACGCACCCGCCTGCAACGAAAAGCTATCTAACCTACTTAACCTATGCTGATGGATTTCCGCTTTCGTGTACAAATTCTTATTGCCTCGTTTACCTCACTATTTCTACTTTCAATCTCTCTCTCTCTCTCTCTCTCTCTCTCTCCCTTCCTCCCTTCCTCCCTCCCCCCTCCCCCTCTCTTTCTCTCTCTGTCGTTACACCTTTTCATCGTTCAATCTATTCCTACTTCCTCCTCCCTCACCTTCCTCACCCAACACTCTATCAACCACTTCCTGTCAGCTTTTCCTTTCGCCTTTCTCCCACTCTACATCTCTCCCACACATCTCTCCCACACTCCAATGATTCCATCTCGTAACCACAAAATCTATATTTCCTTTCCTCTTCCTCTTCCCAATATCTTCCCTCTCTTGTCTCATCCCAGTCTGAACCTGGATATTCTCCTCTATCTGTTTTCTCACCACTTCTTTTTTAAATGCTGTTTTCTCTCCTTTATCCCCTTGTATTATTTATTATAGTTAGCCCCCTTTACTTTCCCATCTCTGTATCTCTTTCTCCCTTCTCTCCACCTTTTCTATCTCTCCCACTTTCCCCTTTCTATTCCCCACCTCCTTTGTCATCATTCCTCTCCTTTTCTCATCCAGATGTTTCCCTTCCCTTTTCCCACCTTCCCTTTATTTCAATACTCCTGTGCTATTCTGCTTCTACTCTCCTCATGCATCCCCTTCTCAAATCTCCACACTCTTTTTGCTGCTCTACTCCTCAACTTATCTCTTCTCAGCTCTTCTCTTACTATACATCCTGGAGTTCTTCTTTTTACTTCTTATACCCACTTCAAAAAAACTTATCTTGTAATTTTTCTACTTCTTCTCTCTTCTCAAACCCCATATTTCCGGTTTGTACCCAATTATCGGCCAAATCAATCTGTCAAATAGCCAAATTCTCTTTTCCCAGTCTTTCCCAAATCTCCTCTTCCCTATTCCCCACTCTTGGCCTATTCCCGTTGTTACGTCCAGTGGATTTCGACGACTCTTTTCTTTCATGGAGATCTGGAATTCGTTGAAATAAAGAGACTGCGAATAACGAACAAATTGAGCGTTTATAGCCTAGAGAAGAAAAAATTTTTTAAAAATGTTCTAAAAATTTTCTTTTCCCACATTAAAAACTAAAGCGAAAAATCCAGTATCTCCTCATAAATGTCGCCGAAATAAACTAAAAATCGGTGCACGTGCACAAGCGGCGGGACTAAAAGGACACCGAGTCTGTGCCCCTTGGACACTCCGGCTAAAATAATAATAAATATGTCATTAGAAGCGTAAGACCGGCGCCAAATACTTTTTAACGATCAAGTCGCGAACGATTCTCACGATTTTATGATCATAAAATCTAAGAAGTGACACACGACGTTCAGGAATAAGTCTTGGGTGGTCACGTGCCGATGTGCGCTTCCTCGACATACTGCACGTCCGCTTTTTTCATAAATTTTTAAGATCATAAAATTAAGGATGACACTTCCACACGCTACAGATTCCGATCAATGTTCTTTTCGATCCTTGACCAATTAGAAAGTAAGAATTAGATCCCACCATCTAATTAACGAACCTATCTACCAATCAGTGCGCTGTTAATCAGGGCAAATTACTATAAAAACCTCGGCGCGAAACTCAGCGCCTTTTTTCTTAATTTTTCTCTGGACGTAGCGGTCCGAAATTCTTATTTTCTTAATCGG